GGGAAGATTTTGATGTGAAAGCACTTTGTACGGCAGGAAGCTTTGATGGTGCTTGGCGGGGGTGGAAGGGTAGGGGGGAAGGGTGTGTGTGTCTCTGTTTGCAGCCCCTCAGGACTGGACATGAGGGAAGCTCCAAGCACAATGAGAGTTCTCTGTGCACTTTGGCTGCCCCTGCTTGGATCTTGACTCTGAAAGTAGGAGGAGGGAAGAGTTTTTCCTGTGGCTCTGGCAGTTGCCTGATGAGCTCTTCCCTCTTTTCATCCTTCCTTCTCTTCCTGTTTAAATAAGCACTTACTCACTACATTTGTTACTCTATTTGGCAAAGTCTGTTCTTTGAGCCCTTATGCTAGGTCTGAGGAATTCCAAGTCAAAACACCAGGGTGAACCAGTGTCTGAATTCCATTTTGGTCCAACTGTGAGGGGCTACGGTGAGCTGGCCTGTCTCTGCTCCTCGGTCCCCAAGCAGCCCAGGAAATGTGGAGTCGGGAGAGGCTGGGGAAGCTTCCTTGCTAACATAGCGCGGAAGCGGATCCTCTGTCCCCCCCACTCCCTCCCCCCATCCATGTGTGTGCAGCATCTGGGGTGTTGGGCCAGGAGGATCCGGGAATTCTGGCTGCTGTTTCTCCAGGAACGGCCTATGCCTTTCCCACACCCATGTGCTGCCACCTGAGTCCCCAGACCACAGGCCAGATGGGTCCTGCCTTTTCTGCAGGGCCAGGGACAAGTGAATGAGGACGTCCCTGCTGCTGATCACCTGCTTTATGCCGCTGTTGAGGGTGAACCAAGCACAGGCTCTATCCCAGAGGTGCGTTCGACCAGGATTGACTCGTAGCTTTGGGCGGTAACAAGGGATGTTTGTGGCCCGGGTCAAAAGAAAGCTGACTTTTCTTGCCAGATGTCCCTTGCCCCGCACTTTTTTCGTTGCCAGACTGTGGAGTAAAATCCGCTTTCTGGATGAGGCCTGTAAGCCACAGATGATGTCTGGTATCAGTCCGGGCACACAGCCCAAGAAGACAGGATGTTAAGGTGTCGGGTAAGTAGGGGCGCCCGTTGCCAGCCCGCGGGTGCTGCTGGGCATGACCTGAGGCGAGCCACGCTCCGCGGAGGCCGGGCAGTTGACTGTTTTCTAGCCAGAGTCCCCGAACTCCCAGAGACACGTAAATGTCTCCGGGCATAATTAGAAGCAAAGCTCCTGATTCCGAAGGGCTTAACACCTCCCGGCTTCTTAGGTCTATTGTCCAAAATGTTCCTTAAAAATTAGCACCCCTGAGAGTTAACTTATCTGTGAAGAAAACCACTGCCTTCTGAGAATTGCTTCTTTGTTCTTAGCGTTGTAAAGGGACGTCTATCTTAACACCCTCACCTTCACTTTCACCGGAGTCCTTCTGGCCTCCTTCCCCTTCAGCTTTTAAGGTCTCTCTGTCAGAACCTTCCCTTTGCGGACGCAGCCGCCCGGGCCTGAGCTGTGCTCGCCTCCAGCCTGAAACCAGGCTGATGGGAAGCTGGCATCGTGGTGCGCGTGGTGCGGCGGGGCTCTTGCTGGTCTGGGACTCCCTCCCCCAGCGTGCTTACCTGCTTCTCCTATCAGGCCCGAAGAACCTTCCCCAGACCCTGCTGCCAAGGGGGAGTCCTGGCCGTGTCCACGGGGTTCCGTGGGGAGTGGTGTCTGCACGGAGGGGGCCCTTCAGAGCCTCCCCTGGTCCTTCTCCACCCCGGACTCCAGAGCGTTTGAAGGCAGAGTCTCTACTTCCCGCTAGCTTTCTGCATTTCAGCCACATGCCTTTTGCAGGGGGTGGGGTGGGAATTGGAAAGAGTATTTTATTTCCTTTACACGGTTATATGAGAGACACTTAACGCGTACTAAGTGTGTGTCTGTGGTTACGTGAGTAATGTGCTCTGATTGTAGAAAGCCCAGAGAAGTGCAAATACATACAGCAAATCCGTGTGACCTCACCTTGTTCCCCCAGTGTCCCAGTGACCTCTTTCCCCTCGTTTCATTCTGACCTTCCTGATACACGGACGTCCTAAGTCATGCTTAAGAATTTGCAGCTCCAGGCAGCTTTTTATGAAATAGAGGCAAGGAGTGGTTTACTATGCCATTAAAAATTTATCAGAAACATTCTTCTGGTGGGATAATACATTTTTATTTAAATGTTTAATTGGCAGTACGTTATTTCAAAACTCAAATTATATAAAAGATGTTTAATAAACTAATTTTCTTTTTTTAAATGTTCTTTTAAATTATTTATTTTTGAGAGCGCAAGTAAAAGTGCTCGGGGGAAGTAGAGAGAGGGAGACAGGATCCGAGGTGGACTCTGTGCTTCCAGCAGATACGGGGCTCGAGCCCATGAACCATGAGATCATGACCCAAGCCAAAGTCGGATGCTTAGCTGACTGAGCCACCCAGGCGCCCCTCATTTTCTTTTTTCTAAACTGTTTATTTATTTAGAGAGAGAACAGAACATGTGAGTAGGGGAGGGGCAGGTGGAGAGGAAGAGAGAATCCCAAGCTGACCTGACATGGGGCTTGATCTCATGTACCATGAGGTCATGACCTGAGCCCAAATCAAGAGCCAGATGTCTAACCGCCTGGGCCACTCAGGCGCCCCAAAATAGCCTCATTTTCAGTGTCCTACACCGGCTGCCTGGGCCCCCATTCCCATGCCCTGGCGGCCACTGTGTGCTCCCTTTCTAGGTGTCTTAAATTTCCCTGCTAACACTTGCAGTGCAAACACAGACAAATACAAAGTTAATTCTCCACTTGTGGATTGAAGGTGGTGTATTAGACCCACCACCTGCCCCTGCTTAGGCTTTCACTTGACCTTCCTGGACATCTTTTCATGGCGCACATCGAAAGCTATTTTGCTCTTCGAAATCACATTTAAAATTTTTTTCTAAAGCAGTTCATTTGAAAGATAGATTATTTTAGTTTTGGGGAAATACAGCAAATGAGAATTCGGCCTCTTTCTCTCCCCACTCCCACTGTAGTATCAGTGATAGCCACTGTGAATGTTCTTTTATGTTTTTCCAGAGCAATTTTCATGCTTCTACCCTCATGAATGTGTGTGTAACCCATTTTTTCTTAACCTGACCATCTCATACAGACATGCCATCATTTCTTGAATCATTTCTCTATAGTTGGACCTTTCAGTGATTTGAAAATGGTTTTTTCACCTTGGCTAAGCAATGGAAAGAGGAATGATCTTTGATGTAAAATTTGGTCTATGGATTTGGTTATTTCCTCCAGAGGAATCATAGCAGTGAGATATGTGGGTCAGAGGGTGTGGATGTTCCTAGGGATTTTGGAGCGTAGCCTCATGTCTTCCCTAGTAGATGAAACCACCTCTCTTCCCAGCCATCCACAGGAAGAATGACAGTCACCATACAGCAGGGCCACAGCAACCAGGCCAGTGAGTTCCTTGTCCTTCTAAGCCAAAGTTTTCTCAGGGTGGGGGTAGGCCTGTATCTCTTTGTTGGGTTTGAAGGAATCTCTCAGTAGCAGCTTCTTAGCCAAACCTGCTCGTGGAGCCCATTCTGATTACTTGACTCCACACATCTGTCCAGAGCCCGGGTTGGGTGTCCTCCCTCTGGGCTGCCGTGGGTGGGTGGGAGACAACTCCGTGGGGTGGCAGGGCAGATTCTGTGTTGATGTCAAGGGTAACAGAACATAGAGCTTTTCTCCGTAACGGCTGTACCGTTAATAGAGTGTGCAGTTACTGTGAACGGCCTGCCTCCCAGGCACTGTTCTGCGTACTCGGTAGGCATCAGCTCCTTGTGTCTGTAGGTGAACTCTGAGTCCTCTGACCGCCCTACCTGTTATATAGGTGAGGACAGTGTGATGCAGAGGAGGCAGGTGATTTGCTCATGGCTGCAGGGACAGGAACAGCTGGGGCTGGGGTTCACCCTGAGCCACATGGCCCCAGAGTGTAGGCTCCATAACCATGGCATCCTCTGGCCTTGGAGAGAATCCACAGAGTGCCTTCTGGTGTCTCCAGCCCCCTGGAGAGGGCTCAGGTCTCACCTTCTTCCACCCCGTAGCTGGTTTTCCCTGTTTGCTGAGGGTTTGTAGCAGAAGAGCCTTTGAAGTTGGACAGATAGGAATTCAGATCCACTTCCTGTATGTGTGGCCTTGGCAAGGTCTCAGCCTCCCTGAGCCTGTTTCCTCATTGTTGAAGTAGGGAGCTGCCTCCCTCCCCCCACCCCAGATTGTTATGAAGAATGATGAAGATGGTGGGTAACAGGAAAGCTCTGTCAGGTGCAGTGTGAAATAAATGCTCTCTCCCTCCCTAGCCCACACCTTCCCCCTTTGCAATCATTTCTCTAGCTTTCCATCCACATCCTTAAATTCTGGCCACTTCAGATTCGATCAGAAGCTTATGCCCTGGGCATGACTATAACAACACCATTTACTGAACATCTTCCAGTGCTGACCATTTTGTGATCTGCTTTACGGCATATCTGCCATCGTGCCAGGCCATGGAGTTTCTTTGACCAAACGTGTTCTCCTGGGGCCCTTCTGAGCCAGGGGCAGCAGCTGTGTCCTGCCTTCAGTTGCTCATGCATCATGACGGGGGAAGGATTGAGCCATTTGGGGGCAGACATTGGCCTTGTGTGTTTACATCCTAGGTGTAGCTGTGTGTTCATTGTGGTGACGATGGTGATTTTTTCCTCTGCTCATTTGATATCTTGCATCTCAAATCCTAATGAGGCCTTTATAGCTCCAAGCTTACATATTACAGGCCTGCCATTATCTCAATAGAATTAATAGTCCTTTTTCTGTGAAGATAATTGAGATCCCTCATGGTGACATATTTTTATCACCCTAACACTGTCTCTACCCTTCCACAAAATCTCTTCTTGTTGTCCGGTAGCTGTTTTCTCACCTCATTCTGAACAGGATATGTCCAAGGATCATTGGGAAGCAGGATTCTTGCGTGGTTATGCCAACCATGGTAACCATGATGTGTTTTCTCTCTCCTTCCTCCCCTCTCCTGATGGCAGGTGCCTGGAGATTTGAGTCAAACATCTGAAGACCAGAGTTTGTCGGATTTTGAAATGTAAGTCCATGGCATCTGCTCACGAGGGGCCCCTTAGAAGTAGGACTCTGCGGTTTGGCTTGTGTCCCAGAAGACCACAGGGGGAAACAGAAATCACTGTTTCAATCTGTGCAGGCCGATCTGGTTATGGTAGAGGTGAGAGTCTGTCCACCTGCACCCCGAGTCCGGCCTCCAGATATGTTGTAAACTCTCTTCTTGGGTATTAGAAAACAATTAATTCTTTTGGCTGACATTTAAGACTTGGAAGCGATCACATAAGAGTTTAAATTTTGCTTTAAAAAGAAAAACAAAGGGGGTTCCAATCCCTACAAGGCCACAGTCAGAGCTGAGTAGTGGTTGCTGCCTCCACACAGGGCATGTGCTCTTGCACTTAGCACAGTCCCCCCTTCTCCCTGTTGCCCGACTCTGGCCCACTTCATTCCTTCTGTGTGTCCCCTGGAGGAATGTGAGTTCACAGCCCCGAGTTACTGGAAACAACAGTGGTTTGGTGCATGGGTGTGATTTGTTACTGGATATGACTCTGTCTGATGATACATTCCTAAAGAACTTAGTTGGTCTTCAGACTGTTTCAGAATCTGGTTGCTTTGGGGCTTGGGTACTCCTACATGGTTCCTCAGCCCAACAAGCGCACAATACACTTCCCTTCTTCTTCTTCTTTGTTTCTTTTAATATATGTTTTTAAATGTTGGTTAAGAGAGAGTGTGCACAAGTGGGGGAGGAGGGGCAGAGACCAGGAGAGAGAGAATCTCAAGCAGGCTCCGTGCTGACTCTGGGCTCCATCCCACCAACCATCAGATCATGTCCTGAGCCGAAATCAAGAGTCAGACGTTCATCTGACTGGGCCGCCCAGACTCCCCTCTTCTTAAGTGTACTGGTACATTCTCCAGGACAGACCATATGTTAGCCAAGAAACAAGTCTCCCTCCACTTATAGACGGAAATGCTACAGAGTACGTTCTTGGACCACAGCGAATTACTCAACAGCAGGATTTGTCTGTCTCTGACTCCCTGAGGTCAGGGTCTGGGTCTGCCTGCTTCCTTGCTCTATCTCTAGGACCTAGAGTAGCAACGGACACCTTGTACGTTCTCCATCAAAAGAATGAACAAATGAATTAATATCGAGGAGGGAGATGGCCATGTAAACAGTTCTCATCCTGTACGGTCAATGCTCTGAAAGCAAGAAATGCCGAAGCCAGTTGGGGGTGTCTCACCCTCACCAATCAGAGAGGGGAACGAAAAGCAGGCTGTTATGTCCCCTCATGTCCCGCCTCCCCCTCCCCCTCCCCCAACAGAGAGGAAAATGGAACACTTGAGGCACTAGAACCATCTGGAGGAACTTTACAGGAGGGGTGCCGTTAGATGTGCACACCATCCTCATGGCTCAGAGTTGCCATTTGGACTCGGAGTTCTGAGAGTGTGATGGGTTACTTTGCCCCCTGGAGGAGGTCAGCACCTCCGCTCAGGATTTGGAAGAGATGCTGCTTCAGGAGAGCCATCTGTCTGTGAAACTAAAATGCTCTCTACGCCAGAGACGGGGAGCCCACTGGGTCACCGCCTCTTCCCCCGTCATCTCCGATGGTGATCTAAGCACAGGAGGCTGGCGCATGTTTGTGGGCTGCTCCTTAGAGAGGAGAGTTCAGGAGAAAGCAGTTAGCCCTGGAGCACCTCTAGGTAAAGGCCCGGGCTGGAACCTTCCGGTCCTCTGAGAACTGCGCAGGGACCGTCGGGACGCCCATCAGGATCGATCTTCACAGGTGAGAGACAGAGTTTTCTGTGTGCAGGCCTTGCCTTCAGCCTGGCAGAAGATTGCTGGTGGCAGCCGTGTGTCCCCAGCCACTCACAGTTAGGTGCAAGTCCTCACGGGAGGCAGAACTCACTTACCCAAAGCGACCCTTGAAGGACCCCTTAAATATCCTGTGACGATTAGCTGACATAATCTAGGTAAAAGCATGAAGTCATACGTTGTAGGCGCTCAGGAAATGACTTGTCCTCGAATTTAAATCTTGGTTGGGACACCCGGGTGGCTCAGTTGGTTAAGCATCCAACTTGGCTCAGGTCATGATCTCACGGTCCGTGGGTTCAAGACCCATGTCGGGCTCTGTGCTCACAGCTCAGAGCCTGGAGCCTGCTTCCGATTCTGTGTCTCCCTTTCTCTCTGCCCCTCCCCTACTTGCTCTCTGTCTCTCTCAAAAAGAAACCTTAAAATTAAAATAAATAAATAAATAAATCTTGGTTCATGGGAGCCATACACAGTGTTTCCAGAGAGTTGCAAGGCTGGTGTTTGTGTCTGGGTTCCTGGTCTCCCAGCCTGCCATTTTCTCCCCCACCCCAAGTAGCTGTGGCCTGCATAGCCTCACATGTTGGTCTCCTGAGCCCTTTGATGGAGTCTGATCTTAAAATGACGGGCAGGGGCTAGAGGGGCATAGTGAGGAGGTGGTGTGACCCCTCTGGGTGCTCCAGGTACCCTGTGGTCATCAAGTCACATGACCCCACACAGCCGCATGGGGGATTCCAGTTGTTATCCCTCCTTTCAGAGGAGGAAACTCAGGTTTAGAGAAATGAGGAGTCACAGTGAATCAGCTGTAAGAACTGAAGTCCATTTCTCATTCCCAAGTACACACTCTGTATCTAAATAAAAAATACACAATGACTAAACTAAGTCCCTAAAGAGCGAACTTGAAGGGCGGGGTGAACCCAGGCCCTTTGTCTTGCTCATGGACGTGATTGGTGTTATCATCAATTCTGGTGTGTGATGCCTCTTAGAGAAGACAGTTTCCTCCGTTCCTCGTTATAAATTGAAATCACCTAATTTCGATCTTTGTTTTCGGTCAGATCGAACCGGGCGCTGATCAACGTCTGGATCCCGTCCGTGTTTCTCCGGGGCAAAGCGGCGAACGCCTTCCATGTGTATCAGGTGAGCGTCTGGTTTTCAGCCGGATGTCGCTGCTGGGGCAGAACCGACACCTTTCGTAGTGCTGTGGTGCCTCTGCCTCTCGGTGACGGTGATGGAGCGCTGACGGCCTCCTGATGCCAGCCTCCCCGAGGAAGGGGTCCTTTCTTCATGCAGACTGGAGGGGCCCGGGTGGAGCATCCTTGTCAGTCAGGCCCGTCAGTGCGGCCGCTGCAGATGGGAGCTCGGACAGCGGGAGCCGAAACAGGCTTTGTCAGCTTGTGTTGCATCCAGAGAGTCAGGATGTATGTGCAGCCCCAGGCGTGACCAGGCCTGTGACCGGAGACCTGCTGCCGTCTGCTGTGTCCTCTGCTTGGGCGTCCTTCTCGGGCTGGGGCTCTCTGTGGGGTGATGGGCAGCGCTAGCCCGTCTGGGTGGTTGCAGCATCTCTCTCGGGCCTGTCTTGGACAAGGAGGCCCTCCCTGATGCTCTGGGCTGGGCGACAGACTTGTGAGATTGGCCAGGCTTGGACGTGACCCCTGCTGGCGGTGGGGCATGTCTGACAGAGGGAGAGGAGTTCCTCTCCAAATGAAAACCAGGGCCCTCTGCTCAGAAGAAGGGGCAGCATTTACCTGATGGAACCCCAGGTGCAGAGGTCTCCTCCTCCTCAGGGGAGAGCTGGTCAGCGCTGGCTGGGGCTGGGCTGTGGGGCCTCAGGGACCTTTGTGTGCTTCGGAGACAGTTTATCCCCAACACATGGGACTCCAGTTTTCCATCTTTCCTCTGATTTTCCGATGTCTCTTTCAACCCTGCGTTCCTACCATCTTTTTGTCTGTTGTCTTTTACTTTTCTTACCTTGGATCCCGATCTCCAGCCCGTGGTGTTCACCTGTCCTGGACTACTCTGCTTTCAACTCTGACTTGTAGCTGCTTCCTGCTTCTGTCTTCTTGGGTCATGACAACTTTCATTACATTTTTGTTCTTAATCCTGAAGAACTCTGTGAAATGCCTTGAGTTTTGTTACCTTTTAATTTTTTTTTAAGTGGGGAATTGACGATTGAAGAAGACCTCAGCTATTAAGATATTTTTCTCCAGAGGCTGGGTGGTTAAAAAAAAAAAAAAATACAGACCTTGAAGAGAGGAGCCCTGGTTTAAATTTTGTAACCTTAAGTGAATCTCCCTTTGCTCCCGCATAGGACGGAAATACTATTGCGGCTTAACTTGCAAAGCTGTTGTTGGCGCGAGGAGCATGCGGCACACAGGACACACTCTCTTTTCTCATCTTGGTGTTTCTCCTGTTCGAGAATGCTTGCCCTGTGTGGCCTGTGGTGACAGGTGTGGTGGCGAGTGTGTGGTTTATAGGAACGGGTATCCGTATGACACACACATCTTGATATCTCACAGATGGGCAAGGATTTGGGAAGAAACCTTGCACCAGAAAATGATTTTCAGTTTCTTGTTTGGCTGGGCAACAGCAGTTAGTAAGTACCGTGTTATTAGGTGTTGGAGAATCTGAGTGTTTATGATGCTCTCCTCTTTGGCTTAAAAGAGTTAGACAGGACAGATTTATGTACATCTCCTTGGTTCTCATTCTCCTTTTATGCCAAACCCACCAAAAACCCTCTTCTGTGAGTGTCTGAGTTCTGCTTTGAGGCCATCAGAAAGCTGGGAGGTGCTGCCCAGAGGATGAACAAAGTGAGGCAGATGGCTTTATTTTAGAGTGAAATTACAATGTGATACCACTGGAGAGGTTTCCTGGACCTTTCATGTCGGACTCTTCCCCCCAGCCCCCTACCCCAGGGTGCGATTTGGCAGCTTTCAGTGTCTGAGAGTCCGTTATGGAATGAGAGGGATGCGGCGCATGCCCCGTTGCCTGAGAGATTGTTTCCACGGCAGTCACAGTGGCGTTCGTGCTGCTCCCTGTCCTTCGTGTCTTTGGAGCTTCTCTGGGTGTGGTCCCATCCATGCCTGGAGGACGTGGCCCCCAGGTGCCGCTGCTGGCCAGAACCGCCTCGTCCCCCGCTGTGGGCTCCGTGAAATCTTCTCTGGTGTTGGGTTTGAGGCAGCACCTCCTGAATGCAACTGTCTTTCTCCTTTTAGATAACAGTGTTTCTGGTCAGTATCTCACAAGCAAAATCCATACAACATGTTTGGAAACATTTGAGGAAGGTTTTTACAGAGTTTTTATCATAAATGATAACGTAAAGAAGGAGGCTCATTGAAAATGCTGGTACCATGGGACGTTATTTTTCTTAGTTTAAAAAACACGTTCAGTATATTTCCCCAGAAGACTGGAGATAATTTCTAGAGGAACACCTGTAAAAGAATGATAAGATAGAAGTAAAAAATGAAATGTCAGTGTCTGGGAAGATGTAAACTGGTGATACTTGCATTAAGGAAATCGTGGAAGTCCCTCAGGAGATCCTATACCCCTGTTCTCATTGGTTTGTGAATTTTCTCTGGACTGCCCGGCAGCCAGGGTGAAAATGGAAATGCGGCTATTTTGGATAGTACCATTGCTGATGGGAAGAAAATATGTGAGCTCCTCAAAGGGAGCTCTAAGAGAAGTTTCCACACAGGGCTTTAGATACAGCAATATTGGAGCATGTGGTGGACAGTCCCCAGTGACATCCCGTGACAGATCCTCCTCAGGTTCCATCATGTCCCCCTCATAGGGAGCCAAGGGCAGACCCTCCAGCAGATAACGGTTCATCGGAAGAGCCAAGATGAAAGGATCGGCATGTGTAGTTTTCTCCGTAGATGTGGGCTTTCCAACACAACAGCCACCAGCCACATCCAGCCGTTTAAATTTAAACGAACTGAAATAGAATAAACTTAAAAATTCAGCTCAAGCCCGGTAGCCACATTTTAAGTGCTTCACAGCCACATGCCGCTGGTTGCTGCTGCACAGGGCAGCACAGATACGGGACATTTCTGTCATTGCAGGAAGTTCTCTTGGGCAGACGGTGTCTCCAGGAGCACTGGAAAGCAGGGTAATGCTCTGCGTGCTTAGCCACGTTCTAGAAAGACAGAGGCTGGATGTTAACAAATCCTGCTGGGAGAAAGCCACTCACATTTCAGCTCTTTCAGCGTTTAGGATTCCCAGGGGAAGAAAGCCTTCAAGTATTGACCTTGTGCCGTCCATGCCCTCGAATCATTCTGTTCAGCGGTGACAGGAAGGAGCAGACTTGAGCTTGATCATACATGTTGTCTTGTTTCTATTGTGTTTATTTTTACATTGGTCTTCTAGTTAGGGCGCAGAATCCTGTTTTCCATTTACCACAGAGATGCATTTTCCTTTTTTTTTTTTTTTAAGTTTATTTGGAGCAGGGAGGGGAGGCGCCTGGGGGAAGGGCAGAGAGAGAGAGAGAGAGAGAGAGAGAGAGGATCCCAAGCACCCTGTATGTTGTCAGCCCAGAGCCTGATGCAGGGCTTGAACCCATTAACTGTCAGACCACGACCTGAGCTGAAATCCAATCAGACGCTTAACTGACTGAGCTACCCAGGCACCCTGCATTCTTCTAAGATAAAGTTAAGAAGGAAGAAAGAGTCTGCTTGAAGAACAACACCAAATAAATGATAATGCAAGCAGCCGGAGCTTGGGACAGTGTTATGTGAACATGTGATGTTTGGGAAATGCTGAGCTGAGGGAACAGACCGCTGACGATAAAACAGCAGTGAGGATGATGCTAACAGGAAACCGTAGCGGCAGCTGCCTCTCACTGGTGTGTGTGCATTCTGTGGCACAGTCCTCAAAATCACAGTGTGAATAAACTCCTCTCACCATCGCATAGATGAGAAAACAGAGGCACAGAGAAGCATGACAGTCTGTAATGTTATTCGAGCCCAAATAGCACTTTCTCACAAGGTACTGGTTTGCAGAGGTTTCGAGTCTGAGGGTGGAGCTCTTTAAAAATCCAAGAGGCAATTTGCACAGTTGCCTTCAATCTGAAGGGAGGAGCCTGGCCTGCATGGGTGGCCACCCACATTCCTGAGAAGGTGGCCACTGCAGCGCAGCTGGGAGTTCTCTGTAGAAGTTGCTGGGGCCACTGCCGGGCCCAGACACGTTACCCATTGAGCCCCCCGAGTCCGCAAGCCAGGCTGAGACAGTCTGGCTTAGGAAAGTTGTCCAAGCAGATGTCCATGTTGGCCGCTCTGGCCGTGGATGGGTTTCCAGGAGGCTCTTTCAGAACTCGTTTGAGCAACGTTGGGGTGGGAGAGCCTGCCCGAGGCCTGGAAGGGTGGTCCTCAATACCAGAGGCAGAGATAGCCCACCTGCTGCACGTGGTACAAGTGCTTTTTCACTGTCCATAGGGTGGGAAGAGGTCTGGGACTGCGTTTTGCACAAGGCATTCTGGCAAGGCATGCCCTCCCTGGGCAAGGCTGAGTGCAAGGTCTCAAAAGTGGTTTTTCCCTTTGAGCCCTAGAGTTTCCACACTGTGCCCCCGAGTCTGAGATGGGCGCTGAGGTGTGCTCCGGCCCTGGTAGGAACGGCCGCTTTCGGGCCAATCTCCGAACAGAAGTAAAATTGGTGTCCAGGACCTTCCCAGTTGAAGGTTTCTGTCCATGAGTATTTCTTACACTTTGGGCCCTTGCTCACGCCTGGTTCCCAGCAGACACTTGCCAGAGATGCAGTGATTGAACAGCAGCACATAATATGGAAAAACTGTTTATTAACTGGCTTTCTTCATTTCTCTCTCCTCCTCTCTGTTAACACACTGTGGTGCTATGGGCTCGATTTTCTATCACTTCCATATGATAAAGTTGCATTTGTTCTTAGCCCCTGGTTTATACCTCAGCCATTGTTTGATATTCTTCCCCAAAACACCCCCGATTCCAGAGAAGATTGAGGTCCACCATCCTGAATATCCTGCTGTAGTGTTTATGAAGGCCTGTGAGACCTTCAGACAACCTGCCTATTTTCTTCTTAAGCAAATATTACAGGCAGTAAACTGAAATGAAAGAATTCATCAATATACTTACCTTCTGAACACTTACATCTTTGCTTTTGAAAAGTACTGTTAG